CGAAATTAACACAAAAAATAAACCCTAGATTAAGTGTGAGAGATGGTGAAATACGGGAAGAGAGGGAGAGAGAGAGAGAGAGAGAAATAGAGAGATGGCTCGAAAGAGAGAAGACCCAGATTGATAGAGGGAGAAGACCGAAGCGACAGAGAGAGAGAGAGAAAGAGAGAGAGACAAAAACCTGTGATTTGCAGCAGTGGCAGTGATGATTTCTAGCAGTAGCGACCTGCGATAATGGGGGGCGACGGTGGCCAGCGACGTGCGATGGTGGAGCCGACGTTAGGTTTTGTGGTGAGTGGTCTCTGTGTGTGTGTGAAACAAAGGGGAGGGCGCTAATATTTACGCTTCTCTCCGAAACAAATTTCCTGTCTTTAGTGACTAAATATTTCTTTTGTCGACAAAAACTAATTAATCAATGACTAAATTATTTAGTCGGCAAAGAGTTCCCAAAAAAATAACCCTTTTTTTTAGCGACGAAAATTTTTTGGTCGGCAAAAGGCAGCGTACGCCGACTAAAAGTAGAATTAGTAGCCTAAAATTTTGACAAACGCCGACTAAAAACTTTTTAGTCGCCAATAACCATTATATGGCTACTAAAATACTTTTTGGTCGCCTATTTTGAATATTTTTAGCGACTAAATTTTGTTTTAGTAGCCAATGGCTATTATACGGCTACTAAAAAATTTTAGTAGCTAAAATTCACAACATTGCCGACCAATAAGAAAATTAGTCGCTAAAAGTCTGACTTTTGGCGACCAAAAATGTTTTAGTCACCAAATTTGGTCGCCAAATGTGCATTTTGTTGTAGTGTTTCACCATAAAAATCGTTGTAACAACTTTTTACGATGTGCACCTTTTTAATTTAAACAAGTCATTTAAGCTTAAAACATAATTTAAATAAATGTTTGAAGTTCAAAACACAATCATCCTTCTAATAATTTTAATTATTACTTTACAAATATATTATTGCAAAGAGAAATATTAATTACAGAAAAAACTTGTGTCAAAAGCTTTCAAATAAGGAGGGTCTCATCACATGGGTCCCACATGCGTGCGCCCCACTTTCATGTGAGAGTTTTTGTGCAAAAATTGCAATGCGACTTTAATTGATAGTCTTATAGTGAACAGTGAAATTAATTCATATAGTGGACCGGATATTGAATTATCAAAAATATATATGTATATATATATATTATAAAAGAATCATATTCCGTTCAAAAGTAGGCCAATCCATTCAAAGAATTGGACGCTAAGCCTTTATCTCCTCCCCCACAAAAACCATTGCAAAGTGAAATAGTATCAATTAATAAGCAGATAGTATGTATTTGTGTGTTTTACACCAATAAATTTTCTTTGCCACAAAACAAAAAACAGAAAAAGACAAACCAAAAAAAAAAAAACAAAAGAGTTTACTAGTTACACTCCTGGAAAGAATCACAGTCCCGCAGGGTCACACCGGTGGGTGACTAATCTTTGCTATAACCCAAAAGAGTAATCACCACTAGTTTCCCTGCAAGCAGTTCATTCCCCTGAAGTTAAACATAATTATATTTTATATAAAATGTACGATTGGTTTTTTGGTGCATAGTTTCTTTTTTCTCAGATTATACATAAATGCAAACTCCTATTATCTAAATCTAAATAAGTATTTAATACAAAAATTAACCGTCATAATTAAAGTTCCGACAACGATAAGATTTTTAGTTACACACCTAAATTAACGGTCATAACAGAAACTTCAACAAAGATCTTTTATACCAAAATTAACGGTCATAACAGAAGCTCCGACAAAGATTTTTAATACGAAAATTTGCTGTCATGTCAGAATCTCCATCGAAGATGAGATATTGTCGATATCTTTAGATTTCTCCTCCTCCGAAAATGAGATATTGTCAATTTCTTAGATTTCTCCATTTTTTTTATAAAAAAAAAGTAAAAAAAGACGAGTAAATTTGCATGTTGTTTTGATATATGTCAAAACTCCGACATATTGAAATTTAATTGACACTTAAAATGTACAATGTACAATGTTGAAAAAAAAAATAATAAATAAATAAATAGATTGCATTGTGAAGATTTTGTGCCCGGGATACCATTCATAAAAAAAAGAAGTAATGATACGATCAAATAATAAAGTGTGCACAGTATATATAGGAACATCATTTGAATAAACTACAATTTATGAAAAAATGCTAGACCACAAAAGATAAGTGGGTCTATACTTATATAAGACATGTAGTAGAAATTTTGCTAAATCTGTAAATTACAATGAAAACAACCGTCAAATTTACAGAGCCTAATAGGATGCTCGACTAACTCTTTATAACTTCTTCTCATCAATTTATTGATGTATCCTTTAATCTTAATGGCCTCATCAATAAAATTTTATTTTTCCCATCAAAAAATAAATAAATAAATACATCACATCATTATGTTCATAACAATTTTTAGTAAATTTGAACCCAAAAAAAGTTTAGTAAATTAAATTAATTTGCGCAAGTTAAAAGCATAATGTGTTTAAATTTTTATTGAAATGAGAATGCAAAATCTTTAAATATTTTTCAAAAAGAGTAAAATGATTTGACAGATTTAGATAATTACAATATTGTTAATTTTCACAATATTTCTCTCTTAATTCTTTCTTTCTATTATTGTTATTCTTTTCTCATTTTTGTTGACCTACGATTTTTTCAAAAGAAGTATATAGAATTTAAACAAGAAAAATATTACATGTAACATCTTATCCTTTTGTTTTGTTTTGTTTTGTTTTTTGTTTTTTTTTTTTTTTTTTGAGTAATACTACGCAAATTCAAGAGTGATTGTATGACTTAAAATAAAACACTACAATTAATCCAACGATGAACGATTTTTATGAAAGTTTTTCATGATTTTCTTTTATGATCCCTAACATTATTGATTTTAGATTTTCTTTTATGATCCCTAACATTATTGATTTTATTTTTATTTTCTTGGAGAAAAATCCGTCAAAAATTTTTTTCCCCTAATTTTCACTTAATTATCTCGTTCCCTCAATATATCATGACATATAAACGAAATTTACAACTAAGCTTCTACTTAAAATTGAATGCTAGCATTTATTTCTCTTACATTTTGATTGGTTAATGCACACTTAAGATGCCAAAATTTGAACAGGGTGATTATCTGGCAACCCAAAACGTAACGGTTTTGTGGACCCATCTAGCTCAGCTTCACACTATGCTCGCTTCAGCAACCAAACCAATCCAAGCTTAACCCCATTACCATTTCCCTAATTTCTCAATTTAGGCACCGAGTCTCGGCTAAAGCTATCAACCCTCCACATCTCTATATCTGAAAACAAACGGAGCCTAATGCTTTTACGCCTCAGTATCATCGAATCACAATAACCCTACTTAGGGTTGCTTCTCTCTATATATATACCATCTTTTCCTTCAAGATCTGTCTGAAAATTAGTGTTGTTAGTGCAGTCACTTTCACTCAGATTTCAGTTCATAAAAAAATTGGGTAATGTTTTTCTTCTTTTTTTCTTTTTCAAGCTTTTTTGCATTTTCATTTTTAGTCTCTTTCTTTATATAATATTTTTATAGTTCGGTTTTTGGGTTTGAAATAGATTACAGTAATTCATCTCTGTATCAAAACTTTAAACTTTTTGATGCCGATATTTACAGATATATCATATATGGGCTGATATTTTATCTAAAATCATGAGCTGGACCTAGTTATATCTTGCTCATCCAAGCAGATCTTAGTTGTGAAATTGGAGAAGAAAAGTCAGATTTTTCTTACATTTACTTGAACTTGATATACAATTTTTTTTTTTTTTTTTTTTTTTTTTTTTTGGCACTTAGTGGTGTATGTGGGTAAAACAATCAATGTATACAACACTTTTTGGTTCCCTGATGGGATAAGCTTAAGAATTCACTAGTTCCGCCTTCCTTTCCATCTTTTATCATTTTCTTTATGTCTTGTCTATCCTCACAGATTTCACTTTTGAAATTGGATTCAATCAAGGTCTTCATATATTTGACCTCTAAAGGTTGATCTCATCCTCGTAGTTTATGTGTGTGTGTGTGTGTGTGTAATCATAAATGTAAATTTAGTTTTGGTTGCCTAATAGGTTGATATTACCAACACTAGGGTACACATGCAAACTACCTGGATTTGATATTTCACAATTTTTTTTTTTTTTTTTTCATCAAACATCTGTATGAAAGTTTGTGTTTTAAGACAATTCCAGATCGAGTTTAAAGACACCACTCAATCCTAGTAGCACTCAGAAATCATCTAACAACAACTTGGTAGTGCTTTTTTCCCTCGATCTGCTCTCTCTCTCTCTGTGTGTAGATGATTTTTGGTAAATGAATCTCTATTCTTTGATGTTTGAACAATCAAAGTTAAATTTATTACGTTAAGACGCATGAATTTAGATTTCATTGCTTATCTTACTTAATTATGTATCATATTCATTTAAACCAATTTCACCTTAAATTGGACCAGAAAATTTTAATTTTCATATATTTCCCTTAATAAGTTAATCCTGTACTAATTTTGCATCTGTGTATTCTAATAAATGTATACCAATTTTTGGTTTCCCAATGGATTGGCTTGATGCTAAATAAAAAGGACTAAATTCAGTGTTCATCACATATCAACTCTTGGTTTATATTTTGTTTATATATCCTCCTAACAGATTTTGCTTGTGAATTGCATTCAAGAAAACAAATTTTCAGGTTTTAGCTTCAATAATTTGATCCTGTTCTAGTTTGCACATGTTCGTATCGTGTTCATATACATCATAAATGTTAATTTTTGGTTCCTAGACAAACTTGGTACCAGTAATTGTAGAACAAAGAACCAACCACAAAATAAAATTTTAGAAGGAAAAAAAAGAAAGATTGTTTCACTTGCTCAAATTGCTTCCCTTGTATTTTGTGCGATTAGTTCTGTAGTTGGTTCTATTCTGTGGTGGTTTCTTGATACTCAAGTCCGTGAAACAGTGAATGGAGGTAGAGAAAGAGATGGAAGTTATTCCGGATCCGAACTCAAACTCAACATGGGCATGGCTTCCCCAGAACCTTGTTGACAATATTTTGGACAAGATGGTGTCTCTCCAAGACTACATCCGCTTTGGTGGTGTCTCCCCTAACTGGCGTAGGATCACACAGGAGAATCACCACAAACGAATTGAAGTAAAAAATAATCTTCAGCTACCTCTCCTCATGATCCCCACCAGCAATAACAGTCGCATGAGACGTGGTTTATACAGCCTCACCAAGCCCGGAATATGCGAAACTGAGCTTCCCGTACCTTACCGGAGGAGGTGTTGTGGCTCTTCTCATGGTTGGTTAATCACTTTAGATGTCAGGACTGCTGTTATTGGCCTTATAAACCCATTCTCCAGCAGAATGAAGCTTCTCTTCCCGTCATTCATGGGAGACATTATCATCATTGATGATGATACCAATTCCGATCGTTTCAGCGAGTACTACATCCACAAGGCTGTATTATCAGCCGACCCGGATTCATCGAATTACGATATTGCCATCATCTATGGCAGTGGGCGAAAATTGGCGGTACTTCGAATTACTACTACTGTTAATGCTAATGCTAATGCTAATTCTAATGCTAAAGAATGGCGTTTTATTAATGGCAAGCCTTACAGGTCGTTTCAGGACATTATTTACCACAAAGACAGGTTTTATGCAATGGATGTTTGGGGACAAGTATACTCTTGTGATGTTAGAGGACCGAGTACTATAATGCATGATGAGTCTGTTGCACCAACCATTTGTGTTTTTTTGCATCCGCATAGCAAGAAGTACCTTGTGGAATCACCTAAGGGAGATCTTTGGCATGTTATAAGGCTAATTGATCCAGCAGAAGGTGGAAATTATTGGACCACTAAGTTTAGGGTTTACAGGCTTGTTGAACGTGATCATGTTAGTAGTTCTCGTAATCGTGACCGTTTGAAATGGGTTGAGATGGATAGAATCGGTGATTGTGCTTTGTTCTTGGGGGATAACCATTCACTCTCTGTGGTGGCTTCTGATTTCCCCAGAGGGTGCATGCCAAACTGCATTTACTACACAGATGATGGCACTGCTGCGTTTATGGCGGGGACATCGTATGATGCCACAGGGGCTTATGACATTGGTGTCTACAACATGGTGGATAAAACTATCTCGCAGCATTATGTCCCAAATCTGGCTCACATGTTCCTGCCTCCACCAATCTGGATCGTCCCAACATTAAACTGAACCACCTGGGTTTTGTTTCATCAATAAGTATCTGTGCTTGTTATTTGTTTTCTGTGTGCTTTTGTGTGATGTGCTTCTTCTTATGAACTTGTTAAAGAAGATGGTATGTGAGTGTGAGACTTTGTTTGTTATTGTTGTTTGTTGCTGTTTTGTTATTTTCTATATGTTATGAAGTTGTGAACCAATGTATAATATAAACTGCTTTATGTAAGGCTATTTAAAAAGCTTGTTTTTCGTTGTACTTCAGAATGAAAATCCCTACTGTCTTCTGAAATGGAAGTTTACTCAATTCAATCTACATAGTTGTTGTTGGTGTGCAGACTGATTTGAACAGTGACTGCTCGAAGTTCAAAACTCCTGTGGTAGTCTTATTATTATCAATTTTGTTTCACCGCCTAAATGTATCGACACTATAAAAACTAAGTAGGACTTACTATGCTAGACTTGCTTGACACATCATATTTACACACTATTTGGTATTCCTTATATTAACATTTTTTTTTTTTTAAATCATATTACCTCTCTATTTTCTTTATTCATATTTTTATAAAAAAATAAAATAAAATATACTTATTTAGACAATTCCAATCATTCTCTTAATAAATAAGGGACTATATAAAGGTATAGATTCTATATAGAGGTGAAGAGTTTTGGTTAACTATTTCATTAAAATGTAGTAGCTCTCTATTTCTTGTGGCAACTAGTAGGAAACAAACTTCTCTTGGATTTTAAGAGAAATAATATTTATCACTTGATTTATTTTATTATATTTTATATTCATGTACTAAATATCATTTAGTGTAAAATTCACTTTACCTGTTTGTGATTTTGCCTTGAAACACCTTTTTTTTTTTTTTTAATCAACAAAGAAAATCTTTTATTGATGAAAAAAACATACATTACATATGAGATAACATCAACAAGGAAGAGAAAGAAAAAAAAGGACAAGAAAAGAAACCGAGCATAGTGATGGTGAGAAACCAACATTAGCTCACAAGACCACATACACTTGAAGTCAAAACCCAAAAACTAGCTAACAAAGTTTAAACCCACTGAGAAAACTCCAGCTAAGCTTACTTGATGCCATCCTTCAACCTTTTGAGACCAGACCCTCCTATTTGGATCTCTCTTTGTCCTTTAACTCTAGCTCAATAATCTTGTTTATCACATCATCTTCTTCCCCATTGAAATTGATGCCAAGAGATTTACCTAATTGTATAGTGGCTTTAGCTTCATTGAGGAGAAGATTGTTCGGACTAGTAATACCCTCAGACAGATCTGAACGTGCAATCGCAACTGCTGCTGGTCTGAAAATGACAAACTTAGAAGTGTGTTTGCTGACTGCTGCAGCTTTCTGCCCATGAAGTCTAGCAAAGCTAGTGAACCCCTCTAGCTGAACCTTCTTCTTTCTTTTCCTCTTCTTATTCCGCAGGAGTTTTGAGACAAAAGTAGGTTTCCTAACTAAGCCTGACTGATTAAGGCTCAAAAGACCTTCCTATTTAGATTCTTCCTAAGAGCTTGTGACAGATCCACTTCAAGATTGATACCAAAACCACTTCCATCGCGAGATCCACTGAAGCTTTTGATGAAACCAGGAGTAGATACTTGCTGAACAATAAAATTTGGGCTGTGCACTAACTCCTCCAATATGGTCTCCTTGATAACTGTGTTTACCTCCTCGCCCAATTGGCAATCATTAGACCCTGTCCTCTGATCTACCTCCTTGGTACATACTTCATCTTCTCTGATGAACCCTTCATCCCACTTTGACTCCTCAACAACTGTGTTTACCTGCATCACATGGTCTGCCTCATTCTTCCTAAAACACTCCTCTGGACCTGTTCTTTCCACAACACTGCCACAAATTTCATTAGAGCTGCACTCTTCCAACCCATTGCACTTCAAGCTACTAAATTCTGCTGAAAGATCTTGACACACGAGAATGGGGTGTAATATACCCTTGCAATCCAAAGATATAGTTTTGTTAATGAACTCCATACAAGATGTAGCCACTCTGATTCTGGTGTGGGAGAAGGACATAGGTTGAGAAATATCACCATCCAAGCTAAGGACAGTACCCCACATGCTTCCAATGTTGTTGAGTGTGCCTCTATTCCAAAGGTTTAAGGGAATGCCATAACACCTCTACCACACACATCTTTCTTGTTCAAAATAAAATCCTGGCTTCCATTCCATCACAAACTGACTCCATTCCTTAAACCATTCTTTGATATTGCAAAGATTTGATTTCAGCTCCTCTTGAGATTTGAATGTTAGAACTAGATCTCCACTACCTCCTTTTCTGACCATTACATGATCCAAACCTTTCTCCTTCAAGATATTTCCAATGTTAATAGAAGAGAAATCAGAATTAAATCTGACTACTACACTACCATGGAGCCATCCAATCCAAGGTCCTCTTCATTGGCTTTTATGGAAAAGCTTTCTTTCCTAGCCACAATGGGTGTGACCCCTTTCAATACTTGAGCGAATGATCTTTGGCCTAAATAAGGAACTTGAGCCCTGTAACTAATAGGATGAGGAGGTCTGCTGATGGAATGGGGTTCTCTCCTGCTCTACTCAAGTCTGATGCACCTGTCCTTGGTAGCTTTTTTAACTTCTAGCACCCTTTCTTCTACCAGTGACCATTCCCTTTTTGGATGGCAATGTCTGCTGCAACAGGGCAATTGAATCTTACAAAACCAAACCTTGACTTAGACACAGTCCTTCTTTTGAACAGAATGAAGACATCCTTTACAATGCCAAACTGTGAGAAAAGCTTGAACAACGTTTTGGCATCCATAGCTGAAGGTAAGTTATCCACAAAAATGGTGAACAGACCAAACTTAACATCCTTGCCTTGGTCTCCATCTCCTTCCCTCCTCCTCTCTATCCGAGTCCAACCTCCAATTCCTTTTTTTTCCATTACATTTTCACTAAGGCACATTAACAAACAGGTGGAGTGCGAAATCTTATTACTGGCAGAACAGGACCAGCTCCTACTCTAAGAATCCCTCAAATCACAAAACCCAGATGAAAATAAGAGAGATCAGAAAATAAAGTAAAGGTCTAACCCGCAAGAAGATGGAAACGTAGAGTTGATTCAGACGAAGATGGAAAGAAAGATGGAACCCTGATGGAACGCAGAAACAAGACCAACTCTTACTCTAATACTCGATGCTTACAAATCTTGGTTGGTTCATTCGATCGACAGTAATCGCCCATGGAGGGAAAGCAATCGCCCATCAATACCCCAAATAAATTATCCCTTTATATTTCAAATATAGGCAAAAAATCCTTATGATTTTGGATTAAAGTGCGAAGCTAACTTTGTTAAAAATAAAGACAAAATTATCTAAATACCCCTATAATATATTCTCTTTCTCTCTTCTTTAATACATATAACTTTTTATCTTAGTCACATATTTAACAAATAAAATCATAGTAAACTAAACACCTTAATTTATTATCATAAATTATCTTAATCTAATTTTTTATTTTTAATCTTTAACCCAATTTTGTATTTAATAAAATTTTAAATCAAACATAAAAGTACCATAAATTAAATCATATAAAATTAACCTAAACACCTTAATTTATTTCCATAAAAATTGTCTTAATCTGGTTTTCAATTTTTAATCTAATTTCTTATTCAATAAAATTTTAAAATAAGCATATCTATAGCTAATTAAATCATTAATTAAACTAAATACCCTAACTCACTACCATAAAGTCACCTTTTTTTAATAGCATTTTTAATTAAATATATAAATATATATTTAACAACTTTTTTTGGATAGGGTATATATTTAACAACTTAAAACCTAAATTAGCCTAAATACCTTAATTATAAAATAAAATTTTACCTTAATCTAATTTTTAATTTTTAACCCAATTTATTATTTAATAATATTTTAAATTAAAATTACATATACATACATATGCATATACATATATATGTATTAAATTAAACCATAAATTAACCTAATTAGTCTAATTTATTACCATAAAATTAGCTATCTACCATATATTTTCAACCCAATTTCCGATCCAATAACATTTTAAATTAAATTAAATTAAATTAACCTTTTAATAAAAGATGACAATTAGGGTTACGGTTTGGTTATGATTAATATTTAATTTGAAAAATAAGATGAATATGAGGGTATATTATTGAAATTTGATTTAATTTTTTACTTCGAGTTAGGATTTATGCATTGCCCACTCGCAATTTAAGAGAGTGTGACATACCTTCTGTTATATTTAATGGAAATAACTATGGCACTTTCATCCAAAACCAGAAGAGAGATCTCTGTCTATATTTGAATCATATGGAGGTGAAATGTTTCAAGGTGAAACCATAAGGGGGTAAAGTAAATTTTACCCTTCTATCTATATGCTCTCATCCTATTTAAGAAAATAATAGGACCTACTGTGCCACATTAGAAACTACAGAGGTTAAGACTTTGTCAAATAATTTTAGAGTAATGTTACACCAACAAAATTGTCACATAAAATTATAATTGCGTTACTTCTTGTAATTCCTTTATTTATATCAAAACACACACCACTGTCACTATAATTTTAAAAATGCCATTGACCATCACACTACAAGAAAAAACACATTTGGCAATTAAATTTTTAGTCGCCAAAAGTGAATTTTTAGTTGCCAAAAGTCGGTTTTTAGGTTTTCCCGACTAAATTTTTTAGTCGCCAGTTTGGTCGCTGGAAAACTGTCGCGAAAGGTATTGGCGACTAAAAAACTTTTAGTCGCCAAAAACCAAGTCTGTAGCGACTAAAATTTTCGTCGCCAAAGCTCATTTATATTTTTTAAATTATACATTTTGGTGACTAAATTTTTAGTCGCCAATAGTGAATTTTTTTTTTTAATTTATACATTTGCCGACTATTTTTTTGGTCGCCAATACTGAAGCTTTTGGCGACCACCCATTTTAGTCGCCAAAAGCTTATTTCAAAAAAAAGAAAAAAAATTACCCTCT